CATTTTAAAAGCGTGTTGTAAATACCCAGGGAAGGCTGGGATTGTCAGCCTGTCCACTGAAAGGAGGCTTTGCTGTCGTGATACCAGATCCGTGCCTGATAAGAACGGTTAATGAGGAACTGAGGCCGAACCTGACATGATATTCGAGGGCATGCTCAGCTTTCAGCATGTCCCACGTCACCTGTTTGTAATTAAGCCTGGTGTACCCTGTCTTCCTGAATCGGGGCGGTGACAGAGTCTCCGCAGGTACTTCGTGTCGGTTCACACATCTCGATATTACATGGGTTCCAGCCCCGGCCCTGCAGGACCCCTTCCCCTCCTCGCATCTTCCCCCAGCCGGCTGTATGGTGTTGCTGGTCTCATCCTTCTTGTAAGTCATCAGCAAAATATGCACGTTCAGCACGGTGCAGAGCAAGTCTGCTCAGTAATTCCACATTCCTTAGTGTTGCAGGAGGTCTCTCCACTGACCAAGCTGCAGTCTTCCTGCTCATCCTTCTTGCAGATTTACGCTCCTGGCTGTACATCCAGCCCTTGCAGGGCATTTGTGGTATTCGCAGTGGGAAGGGTCTGTGGCTTGGTTGTCGTCTCTCCATGCGGTTCCTGTTTTAATTTTTGTGTCTTCGGTAGACTAACCCCCTGACATCAGCAGATGAATCACATCCTAGAGATAGGTCCTGGACCTTCCGTCTTTGCCAGCTGATGAAGCAAAGAAAAGATAATTACAGGACCAATAAAATAACAGTGAAGTGGTCATCAGCAAAGGGGGATCCTCCTTGTCAGGTTCATGGACATGGGTGACTTGAGGCTGTAGCATGTGTCAGTGATAGGACCTCACCCAGCTAGTCGCTGAGCCTGGATTTGCTTTCATCACCCCCAGTTTTTCCTTGTCTTTCTCTCTTGGATTCGTGCATGTTTTTGCTATGACAAGGTCACAGGATTATTGATTGTTTGTTTTTAGTTAATTACTGGTGACTTTAACTTGATATTCTTAGCAGTATCTGTGTGAGCTCTTGTGGCAAACCCAGTAGACAGTGTGTAATGCAGTCTTAATGCATGTTTTTTCTCTCTAATTATTTTAAAACCACAGTCTCCACTTTTCTTTCACACTAAGTATTTCCAGATTAAAAGCTTTGTGGGATGAAAATTAAATGATAAGGTACTGTAAAAATCTATTTCAAGAATCTCAAATGTTTCAGCTCCATCTTTATTTTTAGTTTTCTTACTCCCTGAGTGACCCTTACTTGTGACAATGTATGTCACTATACACTTCTAGTTTCATTGCACAGAGAAAATAGCTGAAAAAGTCCTTTTACGCTTGTGTTTTTAATCCTCTGTTCAGATACATAAAATTTGGCCCTGTAAGTTCTGTGGTACAGTTTAAAAAAAAAAAAAAAACAACCAACCCAAATAATTTTGGCAGTTCAAATGCAGAAACTAAAAATAATTTAATCTGCAGTGTGAACATAGTTTCATATTTATACTAGCATCTGGCCTCAGGAATTGAATACTCCATTCTTTAAATAGCTTCACTCTGGCTCTTGAATGCTTTGTGACTAGAACATTACCCTACAGTCATACACCTTGTTTACATATTTCTGTTAAAAGGCAAAAGAACTTACAGTACTTCAAAACATCGGTACAAGCTCCCTCTGCCCCTCTTGCCTTGAAAAAGAAAAGTTAAAAAGCAAAAAATGGAAGAGTGGTCTGAAAATGCCTTTTAAATTTAGTTCTCTCAGTTTGCTGCTGGGTACATATTTTACTGTCGTTTGGAAAATTTTTCTTCCCTTTTTTTATACAAAGAAAACGTGTGCCATTCCAGATGCCCAACAGTAGTCAAACACAAATTTATGTACTTTGTTTGTATGTTTGTTTTTAAGCCAGCAAATGTCTTTGTCTTTAAAAGCACTTTGCCTAGAGGCAGTGGATCTTTTTTGTTACCCATATGGTAGAAATAAGGACTAGGTCCCTGCAAAGGAAAAATATCAGAATAATGTAATAAAAAGGTAAACACTATAAACGGGTAGCTAATGATTAGCTGCTTGCAATCTTTAGGGACAAAGTATCTTTTTATAGTTTTACAATCCTCGCCCAGCCCGACTTCAGGAGGAGTTGCATTTTCAGAATTATATATTTGAAACTTCAGCTAAGCTTTACAAATTTAGTAGATCCCTATTTAGTGTCTGTTGGTGAATGTAAGTCCAGACTAATATTCTTACTGCTATTTTTTCATTCACATGTCTTGAGGTGAACCTAGAAGCAGAAGAGAAAATATCCCAGTTTTAAACCTTAATCCAGAATCCATTCGTATGAGTCACTGAAACAAAATCATAGTGGTTTGGCTAAAAAAGGCTTCATGTCCAAAGGGAACGTTCCTTAACATGCTGGCGCGTTTCCCACAATGTTTCTTGAATGTGTTTTATGTTGTCTTTGTGCTATTGTAAAACATCAAAGATTAGATCCTGTAGTTTTGCGTGTGGGAGGCTTCTGGTGTTTTAAGCGGACTGGTCTGCTTGATCGAGGGCAGGGGGCTTGCTCCCTTGGGAGGTGTCCAGTCCCCTCCACTGCCTGCTCCGCTCCTCCCGTAGGGGAGCCTTCCAGCTCAGGTGGGGAGAGCTTGAAGGAGCATTGCTTTTTCTTGTGGTAGTAACTCAGTGTGGTACCACGGGCTTAGGCTTGCTGCTGTGATGCTCAGTAGCAAACCTTGCAGCAGCGTGAGTGGCAGGAAAATCGGGTCCTCTGTGCCTTTCTGAAAAACTTCGAGAGAGAGTCGGTTGTTTTGTTTTTCCTACCCAGCTATTATACCCCTGAACAGGAAAAGAGCCTCCGGGATAGTCATCCCACTCGAGTTTTAGGTGGTCAGTGCCATTTTCTGTAGGCTTTAGACCTGCCTGGGATGCAGGAGAAGGTCAGTGTCAAGGCCATACTCTGCCACAACCTCCAGCTTTGATCCTCCCGTGGTGGAGTGGGAGGGAGGTGGTACAATGCCAGACTGGGAGAAGGGATGAGGATTGGTGAAGATAGCGATAAGGACTGCTTCTCTGCCTTGCCACTGGGTCTTTTTGGGGTGCATGGTTTGGGTTTTTTTGTTAGCCTTCCCTGCAGGGAAGGTCATTGCTCAGTTTTTAGTTTGTTTTCATACCTGGGCCCTCTGACTTGCATATAATGAATGTGAATAGCCCAGGATTTATTTAGCCTTTTCTGATTTCAGATACCATGTGATTCCAAGGCACAAAACCTGTGATTTATTGGGTAAAGCCTATTTAATATCTTAAAAGCATGGAGCAGGAGATCAGATGTGAGCGTAGCAGCCTTAAAATATATTCCCTGACAACATACTTAAGAACGTTTAGGTCTATATGAAATACACAGGAAATGAGGCCAATTTTGTCCCTGCTATTGTGATGGCAAGGTGTGCAGGAGAGATGGAGAGAGCGTGGACAGGAATTCATGTGTTTGATAACATGGGCCCAGCATATTTGTACAAACGGAATAGGCGCATTTTTCACCCTCTGCAGCAGAAACTCTATTGGTAGTTTCTCTGCCTTGTTGAGAGACTTTAAACTGATCAGACATACTGGCAAATCCAAGTAAGTTAATATGAAAAGTCATTCCCTCATCTTTGGCCATTTGTGTACGGTGTTTGCACAAAGCAGTTCCTCTTTGCCACCTCTGTCAGCTTGGGGAAGCGCAGGGAGCTGATTCTTAATGGGCAGAGATGAAGAAAGGCTGCGATTCTGTATTAGACCATTTTTCCTTCGTCACCTTATAGACAAAGTCAATATAACAGTAAGAAGAGTACTTTTTTCTGGGAGAATACTTGTTGAGTGTTGCTTCTTAAACAAGAGACCTTAGTGAACAGTGCAGCAGAACAGCAGTTGCCAGAAGGACCTGTAATAGTTTTTGATCGTGCTAATGATTGACCATTGTCTTCTGCTGCACAAATGAGATTCTCTTTTTTTCCCAGGAATGTCACACTAATTAGTGTATGGCTGGTTTTCTTAAATAAGCACTTCTGCTTTTTAGGAAAACAATGCAATTAAAGTTCGTATTTGAAGAGGAAGATTGTGACACCAGTGCTCAGAAATTTTATTGTCCAGGCTCTGAAAACATTTTTAGTCCATTTGTCTAAAAGTGTCATTCATACCTCACTGGGCATGTGGCAAACTTCTTACTTAAAATCGTGTAGCATTTCTTAGGCAGCAGGTATTTCTAGTTGGACATGTAACTAAGGTTTTGCAAATGTTCGGTTGGGTGAGTAGGAGATACTCTGTGGTTCAGTTTTCTCTTGTTTTTACAGTCATTGTCACTTGCGCTTCTTCTGGTCATAGCATCTCCAGCTGGAGCACAAGCTCTCAGGAAACCAAAGTCCTTGGGCCCAGTCGCACAGCTTACTGAGGGTCACAAGTTAGGTAGAGAATGCTCTGAGCTCGTTGTGACTGACAGGATGCTTTGTCTTTGTCACTGGAGGCTATCAAGACAGAACGGGATGGTGCTCATAGAAAAAATGGGACCGCAGTTTCCATTTTTTTGCTCCTTTTCCTTCAGAGCATGTCTGTGTGGATTGCACATAGGACTGGAGTTTTGTGTGTGCCTCACTGAGATCTTTGCCCCAACTATCCCTAAGAATTTCCAACCATCTCTGTTTCCCAATCAGTTCACTAGCCAGATTGCCCAAACCGAAATAGGACACGAGGCTCCTTGGAGTAGGCTCCTTAGCCTCCTACTAACAACAGCAACAACTTTCCTCTGCATGCTGTGTCCCCAGATGAGGTGACACCAGTTCCATGCCGGTGACTGCTGACTCTAAAGCCAAGAAGACCTCTCACATGTGGCAGCTTGGACACAGAGACCAGATTTATACCAGAGTGAATCCTCAGTTTCATTTGGTGCAGGAACCACTTCGTTATCTTTACCTAAGACGCAGAGGCATCATGGTGCCAGCAGCAGAGCTGTAGTAATTCCCTGCCATTTCTTCCTCCATTTGCAGACTTGTAGGGATCATGGGGATCTTATGGGTACTGTCCTCACAGCTGTTGACAGCTGCCTCCCTGGTCAGAAAATGCAGGTGTTGAGCACAAGAACGTTAACAAGAAACAAGAATTACTCGTCTAAAGGGACACGATTTTTGACATTGACAATGCGAGGTGGCCAGGTCTAGCCATGCTAACGAACATGCCGTGCTCTTGAAGTAGGCTGTCCTTTCGTCCCTTTTTTCTACAGGTTCCTTTGCAGCTCTTTCTCTTATGCCACCTCATCTGTCACTTTGGCTGGAAGACAAGAGCCTCGGGTACCTATATCTGAACTCATCTATACAGCTTTTTGTGAAGATGCGGTGGTGCTAAAACTTCACCCAAAATCTGTCTTCAGAATGGCTTCAAGCTTTCCTTTTAAAACAGTTACTTTACCTACATGGCTGACATCAGAAAAAATGTAATTGCATATAGTAGATGTGATTTTTCTTTTCAGGATCAAAATGCTGAGGTGACAGTCACTGCTGGGCACTCTGAAGCTCAGGCCATCCTGCCACATGGTCTCAAAATGAGTGTCCTGACATATCATTACGTGTTACTGGCTCAGTGTTGTGTGGTTCCCATTGACCTTGGAGACTTGCTGCAGCAGAGCTCGGGTGATGTGCTCTTCCAGTATGAGGAATCCACAGAGCAGCAAAGAGCAGCAGCTTCTCCAGTGTCGTTCCTGGACTTGTCTGCAAGGCTGGGAGTTTGCGAGAGCACTTTTTCAGTCACTGTTCAACTGACAAAGATAAAGCTTCTTGTCCTGTCAAGTGGAAAGGTACGGCCTGGCAGTCACAGTGAGGATCCCGCTGGCACGTGCTGGCTTGAGTAAGAAAAGATTGGTTATTTGCTCTTCCTCTACTAATTGTGACTTTTCTGCATTTTACTCTCTGAATACTGTCCATCCCTGTTTTTCAAAGTCCTCTAATACCTCAGGCTTGAGTTGCAGAGGGACTGTATCATCCCTGCACTAGTCCTGGTGCTGGTACAGGAAGAGGCAGCCGGTGGGCCAGGAACAAAATACTTTGCATCTCTCAGAAATTCCCATCTCACTAACATGGGGCATAAACGCGCCCTGCAATTTATTGAGTTGCTCGTCATGAACACAGTGGTTACTGTGCAATAAGTAACTATTCTTTTGCATATTCTGTTCTTCTTGGGCATTGTAGGAATTCGAGCATCAGTTGCGTACTGATGAAAAATGTTATGTTAAGAGTGAAATGTTATGGGTCATTAAACAAACAAACAATCCTACCTTCATTTTATTGAAGGTACTTAACAAATCTCATCAGTTTTCTTCTTTACAGCTAGTTGACCTGAGGATCTGTGTGAAAGATCAAGCTGTTAGCTTAGGCAAGTTAGATTTCTTTAAGCAGCTGTGAACTAGTTTTCTAATGCAACCAGCCTATTTTGTTTCCAGAAAGTGAAAGTTTGAAGTAGGTCCTGAATCTGGTTTCTCACATACGAGATCATTTTGTTACCCGTGACCTAGAAACCAACAATGAATATATAAATTACAGGCAAGAAGAAAATTCTGAATTGACTGTAAGGTGAATGGAAGTTGAATAATTCCCTGAACTTCAACAGGGAAAAGAAGAAAAGATCACTGAATTCTAAAACAGACTTCAATATAGACAAAGAAAATGTTATTTTAGTATAGATTAAACTTATGACTAAGATACAGAGGGATTATTGTGTCTGTTTCAGATGTAATTTCATGCCTGAGAATTTACATTGAAGGCAAACTGGTCTGGATCACATTAGCAAGGGCCCTGTTTTGCTGTCAGTTTAATTAAATGGAAACTGCTGGCAAGGAGACCCGAGTAGGTTTATAGAAGCAATACTATTTTGTATGTTGGAACAGGAAACTGTTAGGTCTTCCAGTTTGAAAGGGACACAAAAATGAAACCTGTGATTCATTCTTGTTTACAAACTCCCAGCTAGTATACAATGACCTTAGTGATAAATTAACTGCAATTACACGTTATATGTAGTGGGCTTTACAATAGCAGCAGACTTCGTAGTTATGAAAACCATGACCTTTGACAGGGAGGTTAGAACATGAAGTTTTTCCAAACAGTGCCTAGATCTTCAAAAGTATTCACATTTCCTTCCCTGTTTCGTGTGAGTAGATTGACAAGATGTGCAGTGGGTGTTCTGTTTGCTCGCCGCAAGATTGTTGTCAGGCAGAAACCCCCCAAAACAAAAAGCCCGCCCTTCGGGAGCATTGATTTATCTCTTAACTGTGCCTGGCATGCTGCCTTTTGGCTTCGATTTCAGAGAGAAACATATTCGGTTACTTTAATAGGCAAAAGCACTGAACCTGACTTGTAGGGGAAAAAATTGTTTTCTTTCCCTTTTTCAGTTCTGTTTATTGTATCCTGACGTTTTGTGTCATTATTGTGCAACAGTTCCAAGTTGGAGTAAAGAAAAGTAGAACTGGATCTCAGGCTCCATCAGACTCATTATTTGAGAGCCAGCTTTTCTGGGTGACTCAGTGGGACTGAAAATGAATGTTTATGTGGTTAATAGCCACCCTGTGACACCAACTCTGATGATATCAAATGCTTTTTTGTTCTTGAGAATTGTTCACATCACCTATGAATATATCCTCTTTTGATTTATACTTGTTTTTATCTTTTAAAAATTTTTACTGAGCTTGAGTTGACTTGCTTCTTCCCCCCAACTCTTTTGACCCTTTTTTTGCTTTGTTTAGATATACTGAAAGAGAAGGGTTTTTTCTTCCTCTTATTCTTTGACCGAGGAAATTCAGATCTTACTTATTTTCAGCTACTTCTTCAATTTATAATGTCACAGTGTACATGAGTAAAAGTTGGGAATTTGAGAAAGTAAAGTTTTTAATCATGTTACAGTTGTTGTGTAATTTATTCTGTATGTATATAAACGTAGCCATCTATGATGAAACTGCAAGTATATGTGTGCGTGTGTGTACACACAACTGTATATGTTGCTTAGCTCCGATATCCATAAAGCACTTGGCCAAAAGAGTATCTTTATGAAAGGCTTAACATTCTTCACGTAAGTATCAGAAGTAATAAAATACATTGTTTGAGACCAACAAAGATCAAAAGAGAAAGAAAGGAGAAAAAGATATTTTTAAAAAGCTGTAATAGCAGCAAGAAAAACAGAACAAGAAGGTTCTTGGAGATCTTCATCCCTGTGAATTGCAATGTTTTTTTTTCAGTGAAGCTGTAGGAGGAATCCATGTTTTAATATTAACTTCAGTCATGCTGTAGCCCAGTGCCTCCAGTAAGCGCGAAGCTCTGCATGGCTGGAAGGTAGGTGGAGATGAAGTTTGGAGAACTGTTGTGTAACTGTAGGTGAGGGAAGGGAAGAAGTGCCTCAGCCGCCGTCAGTGCTGGTGCCTCTAACAGTAACACGATGAAGTCCATCCCAAAGCACGTCGCAGTGTTTTCATACGCTGTGGGAGGCACCGGAGGGCACGTGTCCTCACCTCTGATCGCTCCTCTGCCTCAGCTCTGCCAGGCGATGGGCTCCTGAGGGCTGGCTCCTGATGGCAGTTGCTTAGCAATAATTAAAAATAAACTTAACAGGCAGCAAAGCCTCTTCAAATCCAGGATCCGGGGGCTGTCCATCAAAGCTGCCCCCTGGCTCTCGCCTATATGTCCACGGGGTAGAAAAAGAGCAAGAAAGGGTCGGTTAGTTTTGATCCTGACTGTGGTGAGGTAAGAAGTTCAGAGAGGTCAGTAAATTATTTTATGCAGATGAGTAGCAAAATATTTCACAAACTGGGACAAAAAATACTCAGTTGACTCTGCTTCCACAGCTAGGAGGAACTTCAGCTGTCTCCCTCCAAGGCTTCTAGCATGACTGACTGCCCCGGCAGTGATGGTCGATACTCAGCCCCTGAACCCGTGGCCCACCAGGCGTTCGGCTGGCGGCGGGGGGCATCGCATCTCTTTGTCTCTTCCAGCCCCAGCTCCCCGTTACCCCAGTCTCAATGACTGCAATGCAGATGCGTGCGTCGTACTACAGAGTTGCAGGATTCCTCAGCACAGCCCTGCCAGTTGTGTTGGAAAGCTGTAAGGAAGCAAAATGTTTCTGGAGGAGGTGCCTTCTAAGGCAACTTAGAAAGGAGAAAGACTTTCCCAGTTGTAGTGGTGGTGAAACACAAAGCCGGGAAAAACTTTCAGTCTCTAGAAAGTAAAATGAGATTCTTTACCAGCTAGTTTATTTTAATTTTTCTTTTCCTGTTCTGCTTCATGACAGAACTTCAAATAATTATGTTGATTTATGATTACAGGTATTTTAAAGCTGTAGTATGCTGTAACAAAGCAATGCCAGCTTATTGTTTCTGGCCCTATCCAATTATACAATTGAGTTTAGGCATGTAATAATGTTATAACAGAAATATCCTTCATGATGGATTGAATTTCATGAAGTACGACACAAGAATATTTATAGCTCCATTCTTAAAGCCACTTTTGTGTCAGAATATGCCTCCTTGGTACGGCTTTTAAAAACAGGAGAAAGTCTGAAACTTTTTTCGGTCTAGCCCCGAAGCAACCACAACCCGTTGCCTACAAGGGGAGGGGGGTTTAGGTTGATGGTAAGCAGAAAAATGATAGAATAGAGTAATTATTTCCACTAGAAAATGAAGATCCGGCATTATTTGTACAGTAACACAAAGTCATTATTTGGCTATGCCACTGTAATGAAAAAATAAAGATCATACTTAATTTAAGTATCATCTCCCAAGAGACTTCTTGCTGTCTTTCTACCATTTTGACTGTTAAACCAAATTTAAATTGCTGGTCTAGTTTCCCACTGCTTTTTAGAGAGCGGAGTGGGCAAAGCCTCCCCTCCTCCCAGCTCGGTTTAAATGTAGACCTTTGGCATTCCAGAAATCTGACCTTGTTTGTAGGGAATGGCTCATTTTTCTATAATGTAATATGAAGCACTCTTGTGTTTTGATTCCGTCAACCAGAGAGTTTAATGTTCCAGCTTGCCATGATAAGGATATGATCTGGTTGAGATAGAAACACTAAAGGAAATTAGCTATTGTACTATTCTTTAACATATTGTTTGCCTAGCAGTTTCATTTAGAATCATTTGAAATAATCTTGGAGTAGCTTTTAAAAAGGATTTTTTTGTTGTTGTTGTTGTTGGCCTGGATAAAAAGTGGGGCTTTAAGATATTTCTCCTAAAATAAATGTGAGGGCGCCTCATTTATAGTCAGCATGCCTTGATTACTTGCAGACATGCTGGAAATTTACATGCGCTTTTCTCCATTATAAAACACTGATCTGTTCAGATCATTAGCTCCCTCATGACTAGAGTTTGGCAGCAAGCCAAGGCAGGCTAAATCTGTAGCTGTAAATCGTGAGTTGAAATAGCAGAAAGTGGATTTGTAACTTAAAAAGTGTAAACAGTTTGGAAAATGAAGTAATTTTAGAGTATGATTGATTGCCTTAAGATTGCACTTTAAATTAGCCTAGGGTCTCCGATGCAGATATAGGCACTAACTGCTCATTATATGTTTTCACTTTTCCTTGGAACAATAGCATTGTTGGTAGGCTTCTAAACAATGTATGGTTCTCCTAGAGTGACCTTTGAGGAAATGAATAGTTTTATTGTGTGTCCATTACTTTGCCTGAAACAACATTTTTGAGTTATTAATTTGCCGTGGTCTATAAATAAAGGAATCAAAATGCAAAGCAGCTGCATTATGCTGCATATCGTTCATCAAACTTGTTCTTAAACATCACCATTTGAGATTGATAATGCACTGCATAAATAATTTTTTTCCCTCTGAAAAGTAAGTAATGTTTTGCATAGCCTGTAGTTGTTGGAGATTGGTCCTTGAATCGCATAGAAGCAAAAATTAAGATTGTTTTTACTACAGACAGTTAGCGAATGTTCTGGGGGACCAGTACACTGCATTCACTTTTCCAAGGACTCTGATTCACTTAATTGTGTAGCTGAGAGTCAGAAATGCGCTGATAAGGGTGTCTGGAATAAGAAACGTGGGACTTGTCTGGTCAGTACTGTTATTCTCTCATCTCCACGTGTATCCCGTGTGTGTTGGTTGGTGCTGTCAGCACCCCTCTGGAAGAGGAGCGGTCCGTGCAGCACCCTGCACCACAGGGTCCTCTGTCCTGGCCGCTGCTGGGCTGTTCCCGTGGAGGTAGCATCGCTGGCCTGCCCGTGTGAATAGCGGGCGCATGCCAGCATAGTTGTTCCCCTGGCAGAAATGAGAGGAAGGTAATCCCGCTCCCTTGCGCAGGGGAGATTAGGCTGTAGAGCCCGTGACTGGTCTGGATTTCTGAGCGGCAGGCATTGCTGGGGAGCAAGCACTGGGCTGCAGCCGC